TCTTTAGCTAAATTAGACTTGTTCTTCAACTTCAGCTATATTTCAGCATGTTTTTAGCTAATTTCATCTGTTTTTCAGCAATAAGCATTCACACTGCATTTTTTGCAGGAATGCAGTTTCTCTAGTTTACAGTTATGTTTATATCTTAACTTAAAAAATAACTGGTGGAAAGCCACTACTTGTTATTAAATTTCTCTAAATAATGTTGGACTCTTTCACAAAACTTCCAGTTAAAATATTAAACCTAGTACTTAGGTTAAAGAAATGCTCTTTATTCACAGTAAAGTGTCGTAGCTTTAATTTCTCACAAACAATAAAACACAAAGCTCACCAGTAGTCGGGCATCGGTACTTCTTTGTCCTTGTACTCGTCTCCCAGTTCTGCATTTTTCTGCCGTAAACACTAAAAGAAACGATCACAGCTGATCTCCGGCGCCGAACATGCCCGTTAGAAATCAAGCGGTGGTTTGACTCCCGGTTCTTACGTCTCTGTTAGGGATCGGGCTGCTCTGTCGGCTCACTACGGCTCCGATCTGGCTGCTCTTCGGTCGCGAGTGGAAGTATTCGCAGGAGCTCTGGTGGGGGATTCTCTCCACGGAGCCCTCGATCCGGACCTACGAGGTGAAACGAGAATAAACCGACCGTCTCGTCACGGGGAACATTAAGGATGAATTTAAAGTGAAGTTGGTCCACCTGTCGGTTCAAAGGTTCCCAGTAGAAAACCAGGCAGGCGAATGGATTACTGTCCTGTAGAGAAAACACATCAGACACGATGGATCGATTTAATCAACCGGTTCGATTGAATTTGTCATAATTAATTAGAAAACAGACATCGTCAGTTTTATGAACAGACGATAAAGTAGAGACAAACTAAATGAACAATAATTAATGACAAAAGCTCAATAATTAAACAACTTAATTATAAAATAGTGATAAATCTCAAATCACATGCTCTGCTAAAACACTCATTACTGCCCTCCGCCAAAAAGAGCAGGTGTTTTTGCTTGTGTTAGCAAAATATCTCATGAACCACTGGACGGATTGCAATGAAACTTTCAGGAAGTAATCGGTGGATGTGCATCTTCAATATATTAACTGCTGAAGTCAAACCAATTCAAAATGGCTCCCACAGCCAAGTGACCTCAGCAAACAACAATGGCTGCAAGTCAGACAGCTTCACAGACGCGGAGGTAACGTTTGGTGTGGTAGTAGCTGGGAGTCACTTGCAACACATACTCTGAGTGCTAACTGATCTTCATTTCATAAAACGATCTTTATTTAAATCTCTGTCATTCATTGTTCGGATTCTTGTCCACAAAAAAGTTTACAATGATAAACGGAAACTGTAAATTAAAAAGGTCTTTATAGGAAGATTAGACTTTATGTATTAAACAGTATCTTTAATTCTAAGTAAAGCTGAGAAGCTGGTTTTGATTTAACATTTATTTAAATTTGGATGCGAGGGTGGCACAGTGGCGCAGTGGTTAGAGCCTCCCGGCCTCTCTGGGTGCAGTTTACATGTTCTCCCTTTGCGCTTTTTTCCAGGTACTCCTGTTTCCTTCCACAGACTAAAAACAAGCGCGTTAAGTTAAATATCTAACTTTAAATTGTCCCTAGGTGGGAATGTGAAATGTGTCCCTGTGGTGGACAGGAGACATGTCCAGGGTGTCCTCTGCCTCTCACAATAACATCTGGAGTTAGACAGCAGCTTCCCACGACCCGGAAAGAAGAAGCGGTTAAAGGAAATGGATGGATGGGTACATTTGGATGTAGATGGTTCCTTACCAGCTCAACGCCCTTCCTGCTCTCATAGTTTGTGAAGAAACGAAAACCGTCGCTGCTGAAACCTTTCAGGAGAACCATCCGAGCCGATGGACGTCCGTCTCTGATCGGGCAGAGGGCAGATTGAGCGACGAGAAACGGGACATCCTCGTGTTTTTAACCACAGGTTAAATGGTGGTACCTACTTGGCGGCGGTGGCGACGCACATCGCATTGGCCTCTCCGATTTCAGGACACTTTGTCGCTTCATCGAACCAGTTCCCAAACTGCTTGATGGGGTCCAGAGACACGAGCTGGCTCTCCTCAAAGCACTGGGAACAAAATCATATGTGCTAATGTGGGGTGACGGCCTCAACAAAACAAACTAATATTATTCAACGAATTTAACAGATAGTTATAATTTGAAGTGGTAGTTTTCAAGGATACAATTCTGTCTGATCTCAGTTTAAAGGTCTGGAATTAAAAGCGTCGGGTGATATGAATTCCTTCAAGGAATGCTAGGCCGTTAATTCTCCAAGATCATGCTTTTGTGATGAGAGTTGATCTGCTGCTTAACGTCTTCTCCAGGACATCCCACAGATATTCAGATTATTTTAGGTTGATAACTGACAACACATGAACCCCTCTTTATACACATTTTCTACTTGGGCCTAAAGATCTACAGATTATTTTCCACAGTGTTATGTCTTGAGCGTTTGAGGACCTGATATTTGAAGGAACTCCAGATTGTAACGATGCCTTCAAAGACTTTGAAGATAAACACGATCATGTGGAAAAACTGATCCTAAAAGTTAGACTTTTACACATCGCCATGACAGCCAGTGTTTTCTAATTACATCTGTCCAAATGTTTTCAGTTTTATAATTAAATCCCCCCCTCAAAGATAAGGGTTAATCTTTATTCTTACAGTCCTCAGGTAGTTTCAACCTGTTCAGTTTGCTTGATGCAGACCAATAATCTGATTCTCTCACAGCTGCTTTTCTTGTAGTTTATTTATTTATTTATTTATTTATTATGAGGCCATATATGTCAAACTTAATGCAAACATCATTTCCACAGGATTTTTTAACACAGAGGTCAAACTCAAGCCGTGGTAATATTCAGGGAACATGAAAACCGGACTCTTACAGGTTTTATGAGCTGACACGGTCACAGTTTGATTACTGATTGCTTCATTGCTCCGTCCATTGCACCTACAAGACAGAATGTTGCAACGCTCACCTCTTCATCTGCTTTGTATTTCTTCCTCATGTTACTCAGGTCCATCCTGCTGCGTTCACTCGCCTTTTTACTGCAGAAATTCAGCCCCACAACGCTTCGTTCCCCCACTGACTGACAGTTATGAGAGGAGGGGAGATTTCTGTCCAACAAGCCGAAATGTCTTATAATTGTACTGAGTATGCGCCTCATGCTGCTTGTCAAAATGAGTGACGTAACCATCATTACGTAAAAAAATGCAAACAAACGGCGTTGGGCTTTTTTTCAAACCATTTTAACAAAAAGATTTTACTCTAAAACCAGATTTAAAATCCATATATTTGTATTACCTCAAATAATTACCGATTTTATTGCATGCGATAAAAAGTTACGACTAAAAATGCACGTCATGACGCTGGGAGGCATTCAAGTAACATGGGTTTTAATTGTATTTAATTGTATTTTAAGATAATTTCAGTAATTTTATGGTAATTACTGATACATTTGATGTATTTATATTAATTATATTTAATATATTTAGACAATAAAGTGATTTAAGGGCAGAATATTTTATTTAGCTAGTGAATTTTTTCTTCTTTTATAAGCACTCGAATGCAGCATTTGTCTCGCCGTCACTTGCTGATGACGTTTACAAATGCAAAGATGGCGGCGACCTTGTTTGCGAAGTTGCTACAAAAACAGGGTAAAAAAAAAACCCATAATAAATTGTATTTATGACATACATTCTTTAATTAAACATGTTTTGATATATTGCTTAGTTTATATAAGTAGTTACTCATAGACTTGTTAATTTTATTTAGTGAAAAAACGGGAAACGATAAAAGGCAGTGCTGTTAGCTTCTATGTGTTAGCTTAGCAGCGGTGATTCCAGCAGACATTAATCAGATTTTTGTGTCTCTTAGGATGGCTGCCCCTGACTCAGAGTGTTCGGCACGGCTCCAAGGCTGTGACCCGCCACCAGAAGCCCCTTCACTTCCTCAAAAAGAAGCTCCTTGTTGTCACACGTTACATTCCTCCACCCCGGCCACTTCCACCAGGCGCATATCCGTCAGAAGACCAACAGACTCAACAGGTCAGACAACCCCGTTTTTCACTGCAACTACTTCGTGTCTGTATGATGTAAAGCCAGAATATGATTGTGTTCATGTGGAGACCTGATCGGAAAAAAACCCTCAGCTTTCATTGAAGGTTCACACATGAAATAGGGCGGATGTGGTACGACTTTTTAATAAAACAGACGCACCTCAGTAAATGGCACATTGACTGTATAGTGCTTAGAGCCTTTCTCTCTAATCAAGATACTCAAAGCGCTTTCCAATATAATCTGTGCCCTCATTTACCTCCACACACACATTCACACAGCACTCTACTAAATCTCTACAAAGACAATCTGAACAAATCATTGTATAGAGACTAATCATTGCGTTGGATCACATTCATACACCGATGGGACATACATTGGAGGCAATGAGGGGTTCAGTGTCTTGCCCAGGGACATTCAACATGTGACTGCTGGTGGAATCTAACCCCCAACTCTCCCATTGGAGGACAACCGCTCTAAGTCTAACTAGTCCTTCAGCATTAGACAAACACTGTGATAGCACAAAACTTTATTAGCTTGTTTTTAAGAAAATGTTGTTTCGTAACTTGATCTCTACATAAAACCACATAGCATATCATTCAATTCTATTTCAATTCAGTTCATTTATAGAATAGAATAGAATAGAATAGAAACAGCCTTTATTGTCCCACGGATGGGAAATTCCAGTGTATCAGCAGCAACAGATAAAAAATAAAAAGATTTAAAGATTTCGCACAAAAGTTCCTAAATGTTAATAAACAACACAATATATAAGGAATAAGATAAACAATATCAATAATAATGTTCAATATGTATTGGAACATTGAGAATGGCAGACTATTTACAGCACAGTATTACAGACAGAGTGTGTGTTTCAGCAGAGGTCAGCATGTATTTAATCCTTATTGGGTTTGTTGGGAGCAGTGATGGTTGTAGAGTCTAACGGCTGCTGGGAGGAAGGACCTGCGGTAACGCTCCTTTGTGCATTTAGGAGCAGGAATCTGTCACTGAACGAGCTCTCCAGTTCAGCAGCAGCTTCATGCATGGGGTGGGAGACGTTGTCCAGCAATTATGTTATTTTAGCTGGAGTCCTTCTGTCTCCCACCACCTGCACTGGGTCGAGGGGGCGTCCAAGCACAGAGCTGGTCTTCTTGATGATCTTATCTAGCTTCTTCTTCTCAGCTGATGATAAGCTGCTGCTCCAACACACAACACCATAGAAGATGGCTGATGCCACTACTGAGTCAAAGAAGGTCTTCAGGAGCACCCCCTGCACTCCAAAAGACCTCAGTCTCCTCAGCAGGTAGAGTCTGCTCTACCTGCTGAGGAGACTGAGGTCTTTATATAGCGCCAAATCACAACAAAGTTGTCTCAGGGCACTTTACAGGAACATTCCCATACATAAAAGCCAATTAGTAAAGTTCTCTATTTAAGGAGGCCACCAGACAAGTTGAATCTTGGCTTCGTTCCCATCTCCCATTCAATAAATAAACTACAAAGAAGATGCCTCCTGTTTCCAACACTTAAAATCCTGTTTACAAGTAACACTAGTTTTACCACTTGTCAGCAAATGAAACCAGAAAGTTACGTATTGTATAAATTTATTTGCCACTCATTTACTTGTAATTCACCTCCAAGCTGCCAGGCTTTATTTTACTATTGAATCTGTTAATCAGGACTTTCTGAAGATTTTTCAAAGTTTTAGTTTGAGCGCTGGCTGCCTTTTTTACTTGACGGATAATATTTTTGCACCAACGAGGTGATTTTAAAGAACTGCTAACAGAAAACTCGTTACCAGTTTCTGGTTCAAGCAGTTCTTTCTTTGTAAATACTTTGTGTTTTTGGGTGTGTGTGTTAGTTTCAGTAACACCACGGGCTGCAGACCAGTTATGTTTCTATGCAAATATGCAGCCTCCTTTTGCCTTCAAATGGGACACCACACATTTGATAATATCAATTTTACCTCCTGTATTGCTCTCCTTTTTAAATGAGTGTTTTTAGGACAATTAACCCATCATAAAAGCAGCTTCTTGTGCATATACTGTTGTTGACAGCTGAGTAAGAGTTTAAAAAGTAATTATTTTAGTGTTGGACACATTCTTTAATTGACTATTTTATAGAATAACATTAACTTTACTAAGACACCTGAAATTGTTTTATGCTGGACATTCAAATATTTACTGTAACTCAGTCTAGTTGTCGTCATTTACTCATCAGGAAAACGATTTTATGCGACTTCAGAAGAAGAATTTGAAGAAAGTGTTTGAGGACTGCAGAATGATCGCTGTAGTTCAGAACAACCACTGCAATGCTGGGGACATGCTGGTTCTCAAGAACAAGCTTTTTAAACACAGCATCAGTATCAAGTTCTTCCCCAACCAGGTAAGGATGTTTTTTTTTTGTTAGCTTGAATAGCTGCCCAAAAGTTTCCTTTATAATTTAAACGCACCAGAGAAAATCTGCTACCCCTTCCTTCATACATTCTGGTTAATTAGCGTTGCGGCACTGATGGGATGGCTTTTATGGAACTAGATTTTTTTAACGTTGCACATCTTGCATTCAGATATATGTGAACTATATTTTTCCAGGTGACTCGGTTGTTCCTAAATGATTCTTCTTACTGCAACATGGCTCCTCTGTTCATCGGTCCGACGGCTCTGTTTGTCAGTAAAGAACCAAAGGTGAAGGAGTTGCTGTCCATCCTGAGGGCCAGCCCACAGATGACGCTTTTAGGTGAGTTTTACTTCCAAATACGTAGGAATTCTGCAGCACGACCATGTGATGCGTCAAAACCCGTAACGTGTGGAAGTAAACAGTTAACTGTCACTGTTTCTGAATGAGCTCCTGGATATTAATATTTTGAATAAAATTTCTTTGTTCACACTTGTAAATTTCAGAAGTGCTTTTCAGCTGCAATGATGCTCTCGTACTTTAATGAAATATTTGTTTTTAGTCTGCTTTTCATTGGCTGCTGTTTGAAAAGTTTTAAACTTCTTTCACATTTGATTCAGTCCCATTTGGTGCTGAAAATATATATTCAAAAATTCTGTTTAGTGTAATCAGGCAAATGTTACAACTGAATACAGCTCATAAAAATCATATCGTGTGAGAGAAAGGAAGAATAAGAAATAAATATTACTGATGAGTTTTTTCTTTTCTGTTCATCTCCCTTTTTAATTAATCTAGACGGTGTTTGTTTTGATTTCCATGTAAAATGTTTTAGAAAAATTTATATTTCTGTCTGAATAATTTGGCATAATAAATCAAAAAATATTTTAAAAGCTTTAAAAATAAATACTGACTCAGTTTGACTGTCAAGTTTTGTTACAACCTCCTTGGATTTTTTGCCTTACTGTTCGCCAGGAAATACGGTACTCATCATTTGTGTATAGTTATTCAGGGATTATTGCAACTCTGTCAAAGTGAAGTGTTGGACCCACAGTTCTGTTCATTAGGAGTGCAACCAATTTAACTCTGTTCGTCTCTCCACAGCCGCCTGTGTCGACAACACGTTGCTGAGCGTGCAGGGCCTCGTGAAGTATTCCAAACTGCCATCCATGACCATGGCTCAGGGTGAGCTGGTCAGTGTGCTGACGATGCTGACCTCCTGCACAGCCTCCATGCTGCAGCGCCACCCGGCCCACCTCTCCGCCCTGCTGCAGCAGTACGTCAAACAGCAGAGCCCGAACAGCGACGCAGAGCCGGCTGCTAAAGCAGAGGAGGCCACATAGAGCTTCAGGAAAACATACCGGGACCGTCGCAGATTTCCAGCCGAGCAGACCGGCTGGATTCATGTTTAACGTGTTTTTAAAGTCTGCACCAGACTGGAAAACGTTTCACTCGGTGCTGAATCCCACAGAGTGCAGCTGAGAGTTGGAGCCAATGTAAACGGTGGCATTACTGGAGGATCAAAGCTGCAGGAATGATAGTTTCATCCTTTATTTAAGGACATGTGTCAATAAAAACATGTCTGCTCAGGCTCATCGTTGTTTGACATTTATTCCTAAACACTTTATTTGATAAAATAGTTTATAACAAAAGTGAAAGTACAACAATGATGTAAAGTCAAATTAACTGAAGGAAACCAAACAAATTAAACATGATAAATCCTGAAAAGACAAACAAACAAATCTGGAAAAGCTCTCAAATTAAAGTTGGTTGACTTTTAAAACAACCACATTTAACGTGCCTGGTTTTCTAAAAATGTGTCGCAGCAGACGGAGGATTATTATTAGATACAATTAGCAGAATTAAAAAAGTACAGATTTAACAAAAGTCACAGATTCTAATATGTAATCTAAAGATTACTGCACAGTAATCTGGGTCAAGCTTTTATCGCTCGAAGGTGGAGCAAATTTAATGAATTTGGTGTGCGTCTGCAACTGATTAACTTTTGAAGTCAAGATGGCGTCCGCCGCCAAACGACTTTACAAAACACAAACATGGCTGAACCTCAGCGCAGAAGTTGAGCTAGAGTTTGGTGTGGTAGTAGCTGAGAGTCGTCAGATGTTGCACCAACAGCTCCGACTCATTTTTCAACATAAACCAGTTTAAAACTGGTATTAAAGATGGCGGGTGATATGCATTCTTTCTGAAAGTGTATAAACTATAATAAATACATGAGTCCCTGAGGCTCATTGGAATTAACCTGTATAAATAAAGGTTGAATTTTTAATAAATGGATGTAAATCTTTTGGAATAATGTATTTTTGCCAATTTATTTATTCATTCAATTAGAAGAAACAACAGATCCATAAAAAAACACAATGAAATGGGTGCAGAAAGAAGAAGAATTAAATTCTTATAATAATTAAATTCTTATAATAATAAGAAAATTCTTAAAATAATGCTCAGCCTCTGCTTTCCTCCTAAAAGCATAAATTCAGTTCCTGAACTTGCTGCAGCTCCACCATGACAGCTGAGCGGAGCTCCATGTCCTCTCTGGTCTGAGCCAGGCGCTGTAAGTCCTCTTAATGCGGATCATGCTCACAGGACACCGCGCACGGCGACGTGCGCTGTTCCTCTCTGGATTTGGACTGGACCTGCTGGGCAGAGAGGCCACAGCCCGGCAGATGATGCGTTCAGGACGGGAATAAAACGTATTCTGGCTTCATTTGAATAGTTTTAGACAAAATCCCTCGTTTTTCCTCTCGTGAAGGGATGACTCGTCTCAGATTTCTCGTGGCCAGATAAGATTTTTGTTGGATTAATCTGGACTGCGGCGGAGGATGAGAGTCGTTGAGGTAAATTATTTTAAATTTAAGAGAAGATCTGTGGCAAAGAAAGGCTTTATGTGAAAGTTTATGTGAATGAAAGTGGGTAAAACCCAAAAGTTTCGGTTAATTACATCTTTGATTTCCTGAAAAGTTTATATAAAATGAAAAACATGTAAGATGCAAAATGAGCTTGTGTCACTTTAAACTGGTTTTATCATTAAAATATGTCAATGTAAAGAATTACATCACCTCATGATGATTAACGATGTTCATGTTTGACACTAACTGAATATAAAACTTTACTGCAGGCTGAACAGTTTCAGGCTCTCAGGTCTGACTCTTGTGCGTTGCTTCAGTCTTTATTTATTCCCAGTGAGAGATTATAGCCGTCATAATCTGAGCATCTTAATCCCGGCCTTTGGCAGGAACCTGCTCCACCTTATGTGACTTCTTGGCCCTCGGTCCTCTTTAGAAAACTCAGGATGTCCGTTCTCCTTCGGTTTAGCTTTTTGGATGATAAAAGTGCTGAGTCAGCGTTCACTTACCGTTTTTATTTGTTGTTTTTGTTTTTTCACTTCACAATCTAACGGCTTCTGCAGAACATCAAAGTGTTCATCTCGTTATCTCATTCAGGAGACAAGTGCCCAAACTTTTATTTTCTAACATTTTAAAAAATATTTGACTTTACAAAAATTGTTTTAGAAACACATAGAAATATCTTGAATTCCTTTAAATCGTTGTTCTCTTTACAGTCAACCTGAGGAAGCTGGTTCCTTTTTATGTATTTACTTCTTTCAGCTAGACTTTTGCTTCTTGGAAAATTTTAGTAGCTTTTTGCTACTTTGCTAATTTTAGCTTCAGATTTTGTTGTTTTGGTGTTTTTAGCCATTGTTGTGCTCCGTTGGCATTTAGGTAGACTTTTGCTACCTTTCAGACTTGTATCCTTCTTTTCTTTGGCCTTTTGCTGCTTTGAGCTTTTATCATTTTGCAAATTTGAGCTTAGCTGCTTTTGGTTAACCCTTTGTTATTTTTAGCTACACTTTTGTCACATTTAGCCTTTTGGCAGTTTTAGCTAACTTTTTGCTCATTTGAACTTTAGAATCAGAATCAGCTTTATTGTCACTGCACAGAAGCACAACAAAATTACATTTCAGTACAGCCATCCAAGAAAAACACAAACATGGGGAGACGGAGGTGCCTGAGGCTGCGGCCTCGTGGGAGGTGCTGCCCTTTTCGTTTAGATAAGGAAAAGGGAAAACACGAGGAAAGAGGAGGTGAGAAAAAAAAATCATATCTCACACTGTGTCCTTGATGAAACACAGTGAAAGTTGCCAAAAAAAACTCAGCACAAAAATAGCAATACTAATGATATTATAATACATATGCATGAGGAAGGCTGGCGAAAGTGGTGAGTTTAGTCCATGAACACTGATGACAGATAGTCTTTAGCTAGTGTTCTGCTACTTTTAGGTAGCTTTTAGCCAACTTTGGCTTTTAACTAGTCTTTTGTTTACCTCATGTTTTGCTAGTTTTAGCTAATTTGTTACATTTGGCCTTTAGGTAGGCTTTTACTTCTTTTGTTTTAACTAGTTATTTATTAGCTACTGTTCTGCAAATATGTGCTTTTAGCTACACTTTAGCTACTTTTAGCCAGCCTTTTAATATTTTAGCTAGCCTTTAGTTAATTTTAGCTTTTGCTATGTTTAGCTAGACTTTTTCTAACTTTAGTAATGACTTTTTGAAGTGTTAAACTCAACTTAAATCTATACACAAAATGATGCAAAAACTTGAATTTTAAAATATAAAAAAAATAATTTGTCTGTCAAAAAAACTTTAAGATTTGGCATATTTTGAAATGTGATTTTATTCCCCCCCCTATTTTTAAAGTGAAATAGAAATTTAGTTTTGTTGATAAAGTTATCTAAAAGTTTATCGAGCCATGATTCTGGTTTGTGAACGTTACGGAGCATTTTTATTGTCCTGTCAGAGCTCTCTGCCCTGAGATCAAGTTGCTTCAAGCGTCTAAAAATATCTCCTGGAAAACCAATTAAGCAGAAGTTGATCTTCCCCCAGCAGCCAGCGTTGGCCGTCGTGTGACACAACACAGGATTAGCAACAAAATCCAGCTCGCTTCCACCCTTTAGATAAATATAGACGTTTGTCAGATTGTTACTCTTATTGTCTGCCACCACGAGAGCCAGGCGACCTGTGTATATGTTTTGGTCTGTCTGTTAGCAAAAAATCATATACAGATTTTAATAAAACTCATAAAACATTTATTAGATGTAGATTCATTTTGTTAACAACCTGATTCAATATGGTCGCCACTGAAGGTCGAACTTAGCTAACTTAGAAATGGCGACATCTCAGCTGTTTCTAGAGCTGCAGTGTGAGGTGGTAGTAGCTGAGAGTCATCCCCATCACATACTTTGAGTGCTAACAGATCACATGACATCTTTGTGTAAATCATTGGAAGTTTGACCTCAGTGGATTAGGCTCCCTAAAGTTCAATATTTTCATCTGAATGAAGGAGTTGTGTTTTTACTGCGTTGTTGTTTTAAACAAAATATTGTCAAATAAAGAGAGGGAGCAGAAAGCCCTTCAGATCACGAAACAACAGTTTTTCAAATTAAAACTTAAAACTTGGTCGGTGCTCTTGGGTTATTCAAGAGTTTTGGACTTCAGGTGTTTGTGTGGTTTTTAAAATAAATCAATAAGGACTGATCTCTGCAAAATCTGGTCTAGATTAAAAATAAACTACAGAAATTAACGTTAGCGCTGAATGACTGCTGATATTTCCTGAATGGACTCAAACTGTGTTGTTAAAGCTAAAAGAAACAACAGCTAAAACAAAAAAATGTTGGTGAAAAGCCAAAAGTAGCAAAATGCTAGCCACAAGTAGCAAAAGTATTGCTAATAGCTAAAACAAAAACATGTAGCTAAAAGCTAACAGTAGCAAAAGACTAGACAAAACTAAAGCTTAGCTAAAAGCCTAATAGAGCAAAAGGTTAGCTGAATGGAGCAAAAGTCTAGCTAGAAACTAAAAGTAAAAATGGCTAACTAAAAATAATCAAATTTTCCTAAAACCTCAAAGAAGCTAAAGGGTTGCTAAAAGTAGCGAAAGGCTAGATATACATAAGAAATTGCAGGCGGGTGATTAAAAAGGTTAGCTGAAAGCTAGAAGCGCAAAAAGTCAACTAAAAGTACCAAAAAGGCTAACAAAATATACAAAAGTTTAGGTATGAGCTAAATGTAGCAGAGCAGGGGCGATTCTACGATCTGACCTTTAGGGGTGCTCAGCCCCCTGCTGACAATGGCTCTTGGCTTGAACAACGCGGGGGCCATTGGTGGAGGGGTCTGGGGGTCCTCCATAAAATTTTGAATAAAGTAGATGCCATTTCCTGCATTCTGGTGTATTTTAAAAGGTTTTTAAACATCTACATTTACCTACATAAACACTTGATTCAATAACTACATCAGAGGGCAACAAGAAGTAGCGCTAAGCTAGCGGTGAGCAGTACAGACATGCTAGCTAAGATGCTACAGATGCTCCGCTTTACATTACACAACCTAATAAACATTTTGTACAAAATCAGTTTAGTGTTAACTGATCATAACAAAGACTAAACTCATGCAAGCAGAAGTTACAACATATATCTATATATAAAACACACAAAAACAAAGTATCACTAGCGTTAAGCATTAACCTTTAACTATTAAGCATACGATGTAATTATGACAAAAAAATGGAGGATTTACTTGCAGTTACCTTGGTACAGATGAACATGTGGTACTTCCTGTTTATCACTGTATTCATCTGATCATGAGGTTGACTTTACCCATCTTTTACATTTTTCGACAGGTTTTAGAAACAGAATAAACTTTATTCCACCCTCTAACTGCTCAGGGTAACACGTGTCTGGATTACATGTTCTCCACTGACAACATTCAACCATTTGTTTCTGATGATTTTTCACGAAATCCCTCTGACCACAAAGTGTTCATGATGCAAAACTCCGACAACGCTGTTGGAGGAAAAAGGGGGTGGAGCTCCTGCAGGTAAGGGGCGTGTCACTTAGATTAATTGAGGTCGCTGATTGGTCAGTTGCTGACAAGTCTGCTGGATTGATTAGCAGGCGGCATCAAGTATCTGACTCATGCAAAAAAAAAAAAAGATTTTACTGGCCCGTTTAAGAGTGTCATCATTTAGTCCATATTTATTCCAAATTTATTTAATATTTAGGTGAATTTAACATTTGAGAACTGAGTTTCCTTACAAAATTCTCATGATGGTTTCACAATTTTTCAGGGGTGCTGAGTTAAAATTAAAGGGTGCTTGAGCACCCCCCCAAAAAAGGCTAAAATTGCCACTGTAGCAGAGGATTAGATAAAAGCTAAAAGTAGCTAAAGGCTAGCTAAAAGCTAAGTGTAGCCAATGGCTAGAAAAAATAAATAAATGCAACAACAATGTTAACTAAAAGCTAAATGGAGAAAAAGGCTAACGGATTTTAACAAAAAATAGCAAAAAGAAAGAATAGCTAAAAGTATGAAACGGCTAGCAAGATGCTAGATGCTAGAAAAGATGCTAGAAAAGTAAAAAAAAAGAAGCTAAAAGTACCCCCTCAAACCTCCAAGAAACCAAGGGGTTGCTAAAAGTTAATAGTAGCACAATGCCAGCTAAAGTTGCAAAAAGTCAAATAAAATGTTTGCTAAGAAAAGTAAAAGTAACAGAACAGTAGTGAAAGACTAAAAGTATCTAAAGCCAGCTACAAACTAATGTTCCCTAACTGTTCCACCCTGACAGCTGACGTTCTTCAAAGAATCAACCTCTCGTCTCTGTCTGCTCTTTTTGGAACCTGCAGAGGACGAGTGGCAGATTACAGACGATGCCTTCAGTCAAACAGCTCATCACAACATCAGGAGAAGTTTGAGCTCTGAGATGGACTCAAATGGGTCGTCGCTCATTCGCAGCCAGTCGATGGCGAGCGGTCTGGAGAAGACGTCCCCGTCCAGGAACAAGCCAGCCCTGTCCCACAGCAGCAGCACGCTGTCGTCTCCTCGCTCCCGACAGGTCAGTCACAGGTCAGTAACAGGTCATTAACAGGTCAGTTACA